GAATATGTGGGGAAGAAGATATTTGAGATTGGAGGAAATGGGCGCTGCCTGGTATAGCAGTACCCTTAGAAAAATGCACATTTACACTTTATTGTACCTTTGATGAAAGTTTTTCAATAAATTCCACACAGGAATGTGTTTTTAATTGGCTATAAAGTGTTGAGCCAAATAAAAAAAAACAGGTAAAAATTATCCAACGGGTGGAAAAAAATATCTATTTATTGGGTTTTCTTTTATAAACGAGCTCTAGATTTCACCACAAAACCATCTAATAAATACCCCCCCCCCCCCATTTTCCCCCCAAACAAAAAAAACAAAAACAAGCAAACGCACACTCTCAAAACAAATATCAACTAACATAATACCAGCAAGACAAAGGTGGACTCGTACAATCCCAACAACAAAACAAAAATCAACTTATATAATCCCAACAAAATAAAAGGTCGCTCAACTTGCACAATCTCAACAGCAAAACAGCAAAGATCAACTTACACAATCTCAACAAAAGAAAGATCAACTCATATAATCCCAACAACAAAACAAAGGCCAACTCGCACAATCCAAAGAAAGCAATGGTCAACTCACACAATCCAAAGAAAGCAATGGTCAACTCACACAATCCAAAGAAAGCAATGGTCAACTCACACAATCCCAACAACAGAAATGTCAACGAAAGAGACTGTATATAATACCAGAGCTTGGAGCTGTGATGTCACACGTGTCAGGTCTTTTTACCTTAATCGTCTTGGTCAGCGTGCCCCAATTTACACCAACAATCTGAACCCCCAACCCGCTCCCCACGAGCTCTAGTATATTAAACACCAACCTGCCCCCCATACTTCATTGCATGCTTGTAGATATCCTCCTGAGACCGCGGAAACGCCTCCTCATGAGTCTCGAAAAGTACTCACCTGTCTGTTGAACTGCGCGGTTCAGGGTCCTAAAGTGGGCACATACAGCCTCCGTTCGTTTACAGAGGTGACATCACTGTCACAAACTCTAGTACTAAGCATAACCTCTTTGAGGTCAACTCACAAACGCATCAGTGCCCCAAACCCTGGAGCATGTGTACTAAATATAACCTCATTGAGGTCAACTCACGAACGTTTGCGTAGACAGAGTACAACTGGTCGTCTCCCCCACAGAACGTCTGCTGGTCGGGACAGGGCGTGTTACACAGTCCACTGTCCACACTTTCCAAGCTCAGCACGCTCGGGAGGCACACACATGAGTCAGCCTGGTTGTGTGTAGTTGGTGGTGGTTTTAATAATAATAATAATAATAATAATAATAATAATAATAATAGTAATAACAATAATAATAAAAATAATAATAATAATAATAATAATAATAATAATGTCAAAAAGAAAAGAAAAGAAACAAATATTCTAATGCAAATCTCCGGCAGTCAGGCACTTGGACTTTCAACCACAAGGTCGTTCACCGGTTTGAATTCCGTCTGGGCCCGACATTGTGTCCTTGGGAAAGGGACTTGACACGAATTTGGCTAATCTCACCCAGGTGGGAACATACTATGGTTACCTGTTGTTGGTGTTGGGTTGCATGCAGTCTGCAGTTTGCACTGTGTGCTTCCCGGGAAACTGAGAATGTTCCTGGGTGGTCTTGGGTCTGCTGGAGTAATTAT